CGATAACCTTGAGAATACCTAGATTATGTGGAAAATTCTATAGGATATATAAGACTAACAATGTTAGGTGAATCAGAATGTTGGATATTAAAAGAAATCATGTGCAAAAAGTGAATGTTGTAGGACTTAGAACGTTATGATGGTCTCTCGTGCATACATTAGAAGATAGGATAAAAAAATGAGCGTATTCATTGGAGATTAGAGGTTGCTCCTTTTGAGGATCAAATTAGAGAATTAGTTGAGATGACTTGGTCATGTACAATGGAAGCCACTCAATGTATGCACCAGTTAAGAGGAGTGATAACTGACAATTTTAACTAATGACACAAAAGAGTTAGATGCAGACCTGAAAATTTTGATTGGAAGCATTTAATAAGGATATGGCAATACTTGTGATGATGCCTGATAGACAGACCCCAAAAGTTTGAGATGAAGATTTTGTATTGTTAATCTAGATCTGTTTTTTAAGTAAGAGAACTTTTGCGGAGTTTCTTAATGACTTTGCAATAACATTAGGTTGAAATTGGGAAGTTTATGAAAATGTCTGATTTATAGTTCCTGTGTCTCGCTTCCAGCTGGGTAATTTGTAAATTTACAGGGATGGTGTGGATTAATAGCTGACCATACAATTTTGTCGAAACTTTGGAGTCTATAGCTACCCAATATAATAAAGAAAGGGGCACCAGCAGTGATGACCAGGGATTGTAACTCAAGGCATCAAAACTTAATCCAAAAAAAAAGCATCAAAACTTAATCCAAAAAAATAACTAAGAGATTTTAAATTCTAGAACTACTCTGTATCATGAAGAAGAGTACATCATAAACATTATCAGTTAAATTTTTAATTTTCAAACATCAGATTCATATTTTTCATCCCAGATAACCCCCAATATTCTATGGAGTTTATTACTTTGTTTAGATCTCAGACATATTCAAGTCAGTTGACTAGAACTACAGTTTCCTAGACACTTGTTTTGAGTAACCTAGCAGTTTCATTCATCATTAAAACTAATTTCATTTGTAAGCTTCTGCAAGACCTCCTTGATTCTCTTCTCTATTGTCCTCTTGTCATTCTAGCCTATTTAATTATGAAAATGTTTTTTTTCCTGGAAGGAGGTTGTGCTTCTAGGTCAGTAGTCCACTTTTCAGTTTTTATTAAACCTTTACAAGGACTTAAGCAAATGCAGACAAAAAAAGTAAAGCTGTCATTTTGGAATTTAACTATATGGATGACATCAGGTGGTTGTTTTTTGGAGAATGTGTATTTCTTAATATAGAAGATGACCAATGTCGAGATATGTTGTATGGGTGCCACACGAAGAGATGAATACTTGTAGCTGACATCAAAAAAGTCTGTGGACAGATCTGCAGACATCCAGAGTATATCTAAATATATTATTAGAGATAAATTTATGTATATATGCATTTATATTGTATATCAGCACGTCCACCATTAAGTATGGTATGAAAAATTGTATTGACATTTTTTTGGACAATTTTTTCGCAGTTGCACTCCCATTTGAATGTACGCTACCCTATAGTTTTCCAGAAGGGGTCTTCTTAGCAGTACTGTCTTTAGGTAGTAGCATAAACAGCTTGAACAGATATATCTGTCTAGGCTAAGAGTACTTATTTTGTCCAGGGAACTGCTTAAAAATTGAGTAGTTTTAACCCCTTTTCCTTAATAAAGTAAACTAATTGCACACTTTTTTAATTCATAGATAACATGTTTGACTCGCTTTAATTTATCTAGGATAACTATCATCTACTAACTAAAAAAAGTTAGATTTTTCCTTTTAGGCCCATTGAATGCTTAAACTATTTAATAAGAGGAAAGCTAACAGTGTAACATAGCAACTACATTGCCACTTTCTCCTCTTATTCTTCATCCTTGTTATCCTTTTCTTGTGGTTGCTTCACCATACTCTCTACTCTTGCCCTAGAATTGTCAGACCCACCGAGTCCATGAACAGCAGACTGGGATTCACCAGCTTCGACGAAAATAAAAATGCTTTCATTCAAGAATGAGTGCTAAAAAGAGTATCACGGACCACAATTACAAGAACCCACTGGGGCACTCTGTTCACCAAAATGATAGTTTCAAAAATTCGTTTTATGTCATGCCAATTAGGACCTACCAGGGTCCCTCTGTTCTTTCTTTTCTTTTCTTCATATTCTTTTATAGCTTCCTGTTCTTTCTCTTTTCCTCTTTCCCCCTCTACCTGTAGTCAATTACCTGTTATCTTTTAGCTTTATTTTTATGATGTCTTCTATATGTAGTTGATTGCTTTCTTTATAAGCCTCAATGACTGTGTGGACGCGCTACTGAGGCGTTTTGACAACCTTTGTTCCTAGGCAAGCGGGTGTCTGAGTGTCTTGCTTATGATGGAGGTAGCTATACAAGGTGTTTGATGCCTGCCTTAGTGAAGAAATAGCCAGTTCATTGCTGTGCCTAAAGGGCAAAAGATTAAAATAAAAAGAGAACATAGAACGGAAGTGAAACTCTCGTATCTACATTGCTTCTTCTATCTTCCGGCTTCTTCAGGCATATCATCATACTATGCTGCCAAGTGGTTGTGAATTGAGAAGAGATGGTGTTTTGGCATGGCCTTGGGTTATGAACACATCCAGTGGAACCCAACCTGACCTTTTTCAACTTAATATAAGTAGGGCTGGGTTGAGTTCTGTTATATATTTATAACCCTAATTTAAAACCAATTAACTTACCTTCTTGTTACTCTCTCTCCTTTCTCTGTTTCTATGCGTGCCTTTTTGTAGGATATGAATGATTCTTCTTCACAATCTCTCTCCATTCTTTTCCCCTTACTGCTTTGTCCCCTTTTCTTCTTCTTTTTTTTAGCATCCTCACTTAGGTGGCTCGGCAATAGCCACATCTTTCTGAATGCTTGAGTAGCATTTGCTTTTCACGTTTTGGTGCTGATGTTTCTCCTACCATCGTTAAATGACTAATTTTCAGAACCCGACTACTTATGTTAAGTGTGAACATGCAAAATTTTATGAATGGTCTCATGGTAGTTGTTTACTTGTTTATATTGATAATTTAGGGGCCTGCATTTGTTTTATTCTCTTACTATTTTTAATTAGTTTAGAGTTCAGTCACTGATTTGCAAATTAGTTGGTCCTCATGTTTGTTATTTTACTTTGACCTGGTTTCCTTTGTTATGGTGTCATAAAGATTGTCATACAGTTAGGACAAGCATTGAAGACTATGATTGTGCCTGTACATGAATTTTACGTGTTCAATGTATTTTGGAGTATAGTATTTCGTAAAGTCAAGCAGAGTGGAATTGATATTTTGTTGCATTACAGGATCTTTCACAGCCAAAATCTGAAGCTAGCCCTCCTGATGGTGTTCTAGCTGTTCCTCTTTTGAGACATCAGGTGTGGTTGAATTCTATCTTAACATCTTCAATACTAAGGTATATGTTGGTGATTCTTTATATCTTACTCGAGCAGCATTTTTGGACAGCGAATAGCTTTGTCATGGATGGTGCAAAAGGAAACTGCCAGCTTACACTGCTCTGGAGGGATTCTTGCTGATGATCAGGTTACTTTATCCCTGGTTTTCTGTGTAAGCTAGAGGATTCTACAGCAAGTATGCTCAAAATTTCATCTCTAAAATTTGCAGGGATTGGGTAAAACAGTATCAACTATAGCTCTCATCTTGAAGGAGAGATCTCCATCAACCACGTCTACTGTGGTAAAGAAAGAAAATGAGTTTGAAGCACTGAATTTGGACGACGACGACGATGATGCTGAGCTCAGTCTGGTGAAGCGGCCATGTAGTTCTGTTCCTATGGTGACGGGTAAGATGGTGAAGAAGGAGAACTCTATTATGGTGGTAAAGGGAAGACCAGCAGCTGGAACTTTGGTAGTTTGCCCTACTAGTGTTCTTCGCCAATGGGCTGATGAGTTGAAGACGAAAGTTACTAGTAAAGCTAACTTATCATTTTTAGTGTATCATGGAAGTAATCGTACAAAGGATCCCAATGAGCTTGCCAAGTATGATGTCGTACTCACAACTTATGCTATTGTAAGCATGGAGGTTCCAAAACAACCACTTGTTGATAAAGATGATGAGGAGAAAGGAAAGCAGGATACATTTGGTGTGTCCAGTGGACTTTTAGATAGTAAAAAGAGAAAAGATCCTCCAACATCCAATGCAAAAAATCGGAAGGGTAGGAGCACAGTGGATGGTGCATTGCTTGAATCTACTGCTCGGCCTCTTGGCAGAGTTGGATGGTTTCGTGTAATACTGGATGAAGCTCAAAGTATTAAAAATTATAGAACTCAAGTTGCCAGAGCATGTTGGGGTCTACGTGCCAAAAGAAGATGGTGCCTGTCTGGTACACCCATCCAGAATGCAGTTGATGATCTTTATAGCTATTTCAGATTTCTCAGATATGATCCATATGGTGTGTACAAGTCTTTCTGCTCGACAATTAAGATGCCAATCAGTAGAAATCCAACCAACGGATACAAAAAGCTTCAAGCTGTTTTGAAAACGATAATGCTACGCCGCACAAAAGGTGAAGTGCTTTTACTTTGGATATTGTTTTGTGTTTTAGTTTCTAAGACTTTGCAATTTTAGAGATACAAAAGTCTCTGATCTCTTTGGTGCAAATAAAAGCTTACGTTTTCCTCTAAAAGCTTACGTTTTTCCTCTAAAGTTTCCATTTTGGTGCTTCTGAGAATTAAAGATTTCAACCACTCAATTTTCACTCTTCCTCCCTTCTACACTGCCTTAATCTTGCTAATGCTTTGGCATTTTACTGTATTGGCACATGTTTTTTATTTATTTACTTTCTTATGACCTAGGCTTCAGATTATATTCCTCTTGTAGTATATGAAGCCCGGAGGTAGGTAGCTGGTGACTTGTAGAGAATATTAGCCGATGTTGCTGGTGAATGATTGAAATTGTTGGTATTCATTTAGTAGATGCATAATGGAGTATCCAATTTATAAAGCCATTCTCACCTTCAGTAACTGAATATTGCAAAGGTGGTTTCATACAATGGTGTTTAACTCTACACTAAATTAGCAGTTTGTTAAATTTTTTTGGTCTTTTTTTTTTTTTTGGCTGACCTTGATCCTTTTTCACCTGAAAAAGAAAAAAGTAAATTAGTGTTTGGAGAAATACAGTTGCAACCCTAATCCTTTTCCATTTGACTTGGCATCTGCGTCTTTCATCTTGCATATGCAGCATCCTGTTTCCAGTAACTTCCTGTTCTACTCTTTATGTTCCATGCAGTGGAGATGTTTTTTTAAATATCACATGGTTATCTACAGGTGTGTCATAACTCCTTTTATGTTCTTTTTTTTGGGTACCATAAAGGTGTTTCCCCAGAAATTTACTCCTAAGACAGTCAACATCCCAGTCTTGCTCCCCTGTTTGTTTCCATCGTACCCACCAAGTTGGCCTTTATACTCTATGATGTACATACACCAAATATGATGTGCATGTAATGGGTTTGATCCAAAGGTTGAGGCTCATGATATATGTATTTTTGTTGTATGTGGATCATAAGATATGAAGATCAACTTGCAGGGATCTGCTGGAAGCAACTAGTGGGAGAAGGTTGAGTTTTTTTAACTGACGAGGAAATCTTGCTCTTGCGGTGCCTATACAAGTCTATGTACTATATGTGTATATGTGGGTCTCTCTTTATGTATCTATGTATATGCATTTATATATATGTATATGTATGTGTGTGTGTGTGTATAATGAAGTCCTTATTAGAAATGTTCCATGTGACTGCAACTAAATTAACTTGCATCCAACTTTCCTTGAGGTCATGGCTACTTGTTTCTGTAGATGAGAGGAGAAAATCCAAAAACAATAATGTTCATAGTGTTATATTTTCTACATGAATTACTTACTCCATACATATTATGCAAAGAAGATTACTACAAAACAAAACCCCTAAATAGATTGAGAACTCTTTCATGAGTATCATATGTTGCAGTTCAACAATACATTTATATATCTGTCAACAAGCTATCAAAAAAACCCACGGAAAATTATCGTTAAAGCAAAGTGCGAGAATAAATGCCCGTATCCAGGTGCATGTGCTATATACCATGTGGGTTGTCCTTAGACTCCAACCTTGTGTGTTACTGTAAGCTGACTACCAGGGCAAGTACCACAGCTACATGGTGTGACATCGCTCAATTATCTCTACACCTAGATGGTACTGATTATCTGAAGTAAAGGCCTTACCATTTCAAATGCATTTAAAGCTATATTCTGTTTACATTGCTTTCTAGGTCAATGCTCTTGACAAACCTCTTTCTAGTTTAATTTTGTCATCCAACTCTACTGGGTGCTTTGTCCTTTTGTTTACTGGCATAAGTTAAGGATTGGTTGCTCAGTTTATCGGAAGGTTGGAGTCTTGTAAGTAGGTATTAGAGATTTAGTTCATCAGTTTATGTTGCCTATGTGACTTGCATAGAAATGGTTACCGGATCCACTCTAGGACGCTTAATTCACTGCAGTCTGTTAGAAATTGTAAGGCTGCTGTCGATAATAGCATTAATCCAGTACATGAATTTTATGCTATCTATTCAATGTGCTGTACTGACTCAGGGTTCTTGTGTGCTGGTTAAAAAATTAACTATTCTTCTTTACTGGCCTCGCGAGTGCAGAAGTAATTGCACTCTGGCTAAGTATAAAAGCAGCAGCCTGAAGGTTCCCATACTGTTATGCGCATGCCCTAGATCCTCACTTAATATTGCATTTACTCCTTAGTTTTTTTATGTGAAAGGAGACCCCCCCCCTCCCCACCCCACCCAAACAAGAAAAATCTTTTTTCTTTTACCAGAACTTGAATGAGTTCTTGATGCTTATTATACACATTTATCCTATTATTTTGTTGCTCTTTAGTATCCTTATTATTCATATTTATTCGCTCATTTAATTTTGCTTAACTCCTGAGTATCCTTGTGTGAAAGGAAAAACCTTTCTTAAAGTCATGTCTAGATTATAATTATAAAAAAACTTTCTTTTTGTTTACTAGAACTTGAGTGGGTTCTTGATGCTTATTATACATTTTATCATCTTATTTCATTTGCTCCTTTGTATCCTTATTGTACATATTTATCCTCTCACTTAATTTTGCATTAACTCCTTAGTATATTCCATTTGCTCATGAGGCTCTCTCATAGTGTACTGTATCAAGGGGATATAAATTTGGCATTAGATTGCTTTGTAACATGTTCAGTAATTTGTTCTTTCTTACTTTGAATTGTTCAGGCACTGTACTTGATGGTAAGCCAATAATTTCATTGCCATCAAAGACAGTATCGCTAAAGAAGGTTGATTTCTCGATGGAGGAACGATCATTTTATTCAATGTTGGAAGCTGAATCTCGAGAACAGTTCAGGGTTAGTTTTCTTCTTCCAGCTCTTCAACACACTATTAAGTTGGCTTTTCTTTATCATGTATGTTGATGTTCTCTTAAATCAACTACCTATGTAGTAGACTAGTCAGTTGGCTTTTCTTCATCCGCTTATACTGATGCTCTTCAATAAAACAGAGATTATAACTTCTGCAGTGCATATTGCAAACTGATCCTCTATGTTGGGCATGTGGGCGCTTTCTAACCACTACTTCCTTTATCAATTTTCACTGTCCTTTTGCGTTTTCATTTTTTTGCTCCACGAAAAAGTCTGCACTAATATTCTTACTTTGTCTATTTTCCTTTGGTCTATCAACTGTACTTCATATTTTTGCTGGAGAATTTCTAGTTAAAGTGACACTTAAATGTTTATTTCTTCTGCAGGAATATGAAGATGCTGGGACTGTCAAACAGAACTATGTTAATATCTTACTGATGCTCTTACGGCTTCGGCAGGCTTGTGATCATCCTCTTCTAGTAAAAGGATGCGACTCAAATTCTAGTCAGAAGTCATCTATGGAGATGGCAAAGAAACTCCCTAAAGATAAAAAAATTGAACTTCTGAGCTGTTTGGAAATCACTTTGGCAATTTGTACAATCTGTAATGTAAGTGATCTTTCTTTGCTTCTAAGATGGTATCTTTCCAACTGTCTTTATTTACATGTTGTATTCTTACATATGTTTCTGTTACGTGGATATGCTCTTATCGGTCAGGAAAAAGTACGAAAATCTTCACATATTTTATAACAAAAGCGAGTTTGTGGGGCCATCTGAATTTGGAGAGTTAGAAAAGGTTGCATTGCTGATTTAGATGAAGAAAGTGGAAGAGAGGAGGCTATGTGTTAAAAAATTTATATTGCTGACTTGCAAGATTTTTTTGGGGCTTTTTCATATTGGACCTCCCAAATCTTCTCTAATTGTATATCAGACCCCCAAATCCCTTTTGTTTAAAAAACACCCTTCGATGGATTCCCTGCAAAAAATTTATGATAGCATGGTTCATTCTTATCCATCTTGGTTAAATTACATTAATTTCCTTATTGTTATGTTTTCCCCTCTTCCATCTCTGTTTGATTTCTCCAAACCCTAATTTCTTTCTTTTCTTCATCATGGGCATAACGGTCCACAGAAAAAGTTTGTGCTAATGGTAACAATAATAACTGAGTAACTGCAGTAAGTCATGTTTTTGTAAACAACTTAGCGGATTTGTGGGTCAAATTTAGAAATATGAAAAATTGAGGGTCTAATGTACAATTAAAGAAGACTTGGGTCTTGGGGTTCTAATATGGCGTGAAGCTTTTATTAACTAATAAAAAAATTGTTTTTTTAGGGGTGGTTGGGGTGCGGTGTTGGGATTTTCTTGACAGTTTTCTGAAACTTCACTCAGGTGATGGAATGTGTGTTGGGATTTTGTAGTCAGTTTTCTGAAACTTTTTACTCAAGTGATGGAATTGGGCTTTCTTTGCAATGTAAAAACTTAAGAAACAAAATGTTGATTAAGGAGACATGCGACAAAGGAGTAGGTTATTTTGAACTCTAATTTATTCTGTGTTTGAATACTGGCAGTCATGAATTATGTTTTTTATACTGTAAAAATCATGAAACAATTAGAATTAGAATGAACAATCTTTTAGCTAACTTCAAGAAGAAGTACATGGTACAACTAATTTCACTCTTAATTGGTATGGACTATGTACTCTTAAGGATCCACAGTATAGTGGGGATCCCAATTTAGTTGTAAAAATGAATACATGTGCTTTTAAAAACACTTTGCTTGTGCATCCAGTAGAAATTATGTTTGTGAACATTTAAGGAAACTTCTTTATTTTCTGACACCTCAGTGCATCAAAAAATATATTAGAAATTAGAGGTATTGTAGGTAACAAGTTACTACATTCATTTTCCTCCAAATACAAGTTCATGCAATTTGGAGGGAATTAGTTGTAATCATAAATAATAATATAGAACTTTTGGACTTTTGCAGTTGGCAACTGAAGTAAACTCAACTTTTCTCTGCAGATTGTTCAACTTGCATGGTCGCTTTGATCTCCCATGATTTATGGTAGCTTTGCACCCCAAATCGGGGTGATTCTTAAATTTTCCTAGTTACTGGGAGTCTAAAACTGTTTCTATGGAAGAACTATGCTTTTAATTTGAGTATAAAAGCAAGGTGAACTTTTTGAGATTGTTTTTACATGTACAAAGAGACAGGTGCCAGTTTAGAGTGATAGGATCAAAGCTTATTGGAACACAAGGACTTGCTGACTCAGAAAAAAACTAAGCAGCCATGAATTGAGGCAATAGAGGAGAGGGCTTTGACTTGAATGGAGAAAAAAGATTCAAATATCCATTTCCTAAAAATTGGAACAAGTGATTTTTTCTATCTAAAAGGAAGGATCAGTGTAAGATTCAGTTTTGATCAATTTCAGACTTTAATCAACTAGATAGTGATCTTCAGAACTCCTACCATAATAAACACTAAAACCTTGTCTGCTGAAATTAACCTTTAAGTATAAACTAGTATCTACCAACAATTGATATCTACTGGCTAAATTAACCCTTAATCTGTTATGATTTTTTCCTGCATTACTTCGCACATATGTTTTCTTGTCTACTTGGCACAGAATCTGTATAACTTATTGGTGTGGATATTTTGATTTTTCCTTCTATTTGAAAGTTACCTCATATTCTCGACAGGATCCTCCTGAGGATGCTGTTGTTACGATCTGTGGACATGTATTCTGCAATCAGTGTATTTGCGAGCATCTTACAACAGACGAAAACATCTGTCCTTCACCTAATTGCAAAGTTCAACTTCGCGCTGCTTCAGTATTTTCCAAGGGCACGTTAAAAAGTTCTCTATCTGATGAACTTGATTATGATACTTGCTCTTATAGTTCTTGTTTTGAAATAGGCGATAAGCAAAACAAGTTTGAGGATAGTTGGTCCACCTATTCTTCTAAGATAAAAGCAGCTCTTGAGATTTTGCAATCATTGCCTAGATCTCAACTGTCCTCGGGAACTAACATTGAGAAACCTGATGATGAATCCTCTAATTCTTCAGTAAATGCAGCAAATTTTGTTTCAGCGAGATCTTCACCGGATTCAAGTGTAGGAATTAAAAACTTACAGAGGTATTCAAATAGAGAAGTGTCGGAAAAAGCTATCATCTTTTCCCAGTGGACTAGGATGCTGGATTTGTTGGAGGGCCCACTGAAGGACTCCTGCATACAGTACAGGAGGCTTGATGGCACAATGTCTGTTGCTGCTAGGGAGAAAGCCATAAAAGATTTTATCACCCTTCCAGAGGTTGGTTTAAAGAATTTCTCTTTATTTGAGTTGTTGTTCTGACTTTGTGCATAGTGTTTTCTGCACTGTAAACTCTTTAACTCTAGTTTGGTGCTAGGTTACTGTCATAATTATGTCTCTCAAAGCTGCAAGTCTTGGGCTGAACCTGGTAGCTGCTAACCATGTTCTTCTTCTTGACCTGTGGTGGAATCCTACAACTGAGGATCAGGCTATTGATAGAGCACATCGAATTGGCCAGACACGTCCTGTAACTGTTTTTCGGTTAACAATCAAAGACACAGTTGAGGATAAAATACTGAGTCTTCAGGTACCTTAACATGTTTTCTTCTGTATCATATAAAGTTTTTTATTTTAATATATTTAACTTCTTTCTGAGTCACTTAAGCAGTAGCATAAGTGCATAACTATAGGTTGATTGTAATTTCCACTGAAAAAGTTCCTCAAAATTCCATAATATTCACTGTAATTTAAGTTATTTATTTAGTCACAATTATAGTTGTATGAGTACTATTTTTTCCTTTCGTTTTCTTTTCTTGTCAGAATAGCGTATATGCCAAATATTATTGGCTACAATCATCGGGCAGTTGTATGAGTACTATTTCTATTTCTACTACCAACATGTACATTGACATAACACGGATGTTATGAGCTGTTGTCTTTGAGAATAGAGTGTTATCATCTCGTAATTTTTGGTTAATTTCTACTTAAAGCAAAATGAGCAAAATGATGGCACCTTTAACTTGCTAGTTTTTCATCCTTTTTGGATGCGATTCTAAGTCACTCTAATAGCAATTTGTGCCTTAGGATTAATAAGGTGCTGTGGTTTATTCTAGCTATTTTGTCATCTTATTATTTTTTCATATAAACTCTAAATAGCCTGGGGAAATTTTTGGTGCCTGCTCCTTGGTTACGTAACGTAAACTACTTACTGAAGAAGGTGTTCCACCCATGTCAGTACAAGAGGACTTGCCTTCTATGATTAGTGACATTGATTTTGAGGGCTGAAGTCATTTCTTGATCTTATTATGAAGTTTCAGGCAATCCTTTCATGAAGGTGGTAAATTTTGAATGGTTCTCCATGTCCTACCCTAGTTGATATAGAAGTTTTAGATGATAGTGAAGATCCAAGTTATCTTTTGCATAGGTAATTTTCGTGATAGTAAGCTTATGGAGGAGGCTGATGTTTTATTGGAGTAGCGAGATCTAGGGTTTCCTGATCAGAGTTTTCAGCAAAGCTGTCTCTAAAACAAATGAAGATTTGGGTTTGTATTTTGAAACCTCTTTCGAGAAATTTCAGTGCCATGTATCTCATGGTCATACTGTGATAGTACACTTCTGACATTTCATTAGATTAAGAAACAACATAGGTTTTCCTCATTAGAATCCTTAACAAAGCCACTCCACTGTAAAAAAGGTTGGATCCGTCTTCCTTACTGTTTAAGCCTCATCGATAATTCTAAGCCAGAATCACATTTGAGCCTCTGCTGATAAGAAAAGGAGGTGGAAACACTTAGAAATGAACAACTCATGTTGTTGGTAGTCAGTAGGGGTGCAAGCGAACCAAATAGTTAATTATTTGATTTTACTCTATTTGGTGGTCCATTTAGCAGGAAATGAATAATTTTTAGTATTCGGTTCATTAACAAATAGAATTTAATCAAACATATATTTGATTCAATTGATTATTGACTATTTGTTTATATTTTACATTTGCCTATTAGTTTAACTTATTACAAATACTATTCATTACCAACTTTTATTACAAATTCAATTGATATACAAAATAAAGAAGTTTATTCATCTGACCCGTTTAAGAACTCTGGCCCAAAAAGGCAATGAGCCCTTTCATGGCTAGTCTAATATGGCCTAGCAATAGGGAAAATCTGTGATTATCCTCTACATTTCTTTTCTAGTCAGCCTCTAATTTTCACTTTAGTCCTTAAGGGGTCCCCCCTTTTCTCAAATAATTTTTGGAAGTCTATATATGTAAACAAATCAAATCCGAGTACTATTTAGTATTCGAATTGAAGGCTAATACAAAGTCATGTCTTTTCATTAGAACCGGATTTGAAATGGAATAGCGTACTATCCAATTCGGTTTGTTTCCACTACTAGTGGTCACATAGATTATCTATTTAAATTAACTAACCTAAATGAAGCATATGTCTCACTTGGTTCCATGTCTTCGAATCTCATATGGTTTCACATTGTGTTCTTGATTACTTATTTTGACGCAGAGACAAATACATAAGTGGTGAGAAGGTTTGTTGGAGCGAAGAAGACTTTACTGCTAATTTGATGCATGGCTTAATTGCACTTAGATACCCTATAGTTTCCCCTATGTTGCACTTACATAGCCTCACTTGTTTTTGGAAGCATTTATATATCCTAAAGGTTTTAAAACTTACATTTGTATACCCTCACTTTTTTTGGCAGCACTCACCCTGAAGTTTTTAAAACGTGCACTGAAATACCCTTAAGTTCTTAATATTGGCACTTAAATACCCTTAGTTTTGCAAAATTGAGGTTAATTAAGTGCAAGTTTAAAAGACTTTAGGGTATCTAAGTGTCGATTTTAAAAACTTTAAGGGTATTTAAGTGCAAGCTTTAAAAATTTCAGGGTATATAAATGTTGCCAAAAAAGTGAGAGTATATAAGTGCAAGTTTTAATAAAAAAGTTTAGGGTATATAAATGCTGCCAAAAACAAGTGAGAGCATATGCATTAACCCTCTGATGTTTATCCTGGATTGATGATTGGCTAGTGATATATCGAGATTGTTGACTATGATCTATGGGTTAAATTGGATGATAAATTNCTTCTTTTTGCTGGTACAGAATATGCTGTATTCTATACAACATTATTCACTTGCTAAAGTCCTCTTGATTGTGAAATCTTGATGCATACGCCAACACTTTTCTTATTGGGGGTTATGTATAACACTGTACCTTCCGGTTAGATTGTTCGTTGGGGTTGTCTGTTTATGAAATACATGGGGATGATCAACATTGAATTCATACTTTTTGTTTTGGTGTTTTTAAATAAATGTCTTATAGTATGAACATATAAAATTAATAAAAGGTTTTCTGTATATATGCCCCTTAAATCATGCATATTTGCAAAAGTACCCCCTGGATCTTGATAGTTGCAAAACCACTCCCCAAACCATCAACTCTAGACAAACAAATCCACCCTTCAAATCAACAAATGATCACAACTCTGTTGGTTGTGCTGAGTGAAAATGTGACTATTTTTTATTAATAATTTTACATTGCAGTTACAAATTAGCCAATCAAAGTTAAGATATTTGCTGATTTGAGGGGGTATATATTTTTTTTTTCAAAAGTTGATGAGTTGGGGTAGTTGAAAATACAGAGATTTGGGGGCTATTTTTGCAAATACACATGATTTAAGGGATAAATAAAACCCAAATTGGTCCATGATCATTTTTTTAGGAAAAATAAATCAAGGATTTTTAATTGTGATCAAAGCATTTCGGACAGCTCACTTGTCAGATTTTAGTCGGTGTAAATTATTTTAGGCTGTTGAAAGTTATTTAACTGAATCTGCTTGAAGTAAATCGTTATGGAATATTATTACAATGCAAATTATCAATTTAATTTTACATCACAGGCATATAGTTTGTACTAATAAGTTTTATGTTTAACTCCTGTTATGAGTGTACCGGTCTGTAGTTTTACTGTATCACTGTCTGTTCTAGGTTAATTGGTAGGGTCATTTATACCTGAAATTTTGTAACAGTTATCAATGCTTCTGTTATTCTTTTGATGTTTATCATGTAGCTGCATTTGATGTAGGAAAAAAAGAGGGAGATGGTTGCTTCTGCCTTTGGAGAGGATGAATCAGGGTCGCGCCAGTCTCGGCTTACAGTGGAGGACCTCAGATACCTATTTATGTCATAGTTTCATCTGACCATTCTTCCCAATTTTGATATCCTTAACCACCTCAGCTGTGGCTATGATGTTGATGTTTTTCAGTCACGGCCAGTTCTAATAGATGCTTAGGTGAGATTTGAAAGTTCTTGGACTGGTTCCTTTCCCTTGTACAAAATAATTGCACTGGGTATTTTCTTGATCCAATTACCTGACAGAAGGAGGTACAGATCGTCTGCTAACATACATTTAGCTGGAAGGGTTACTAACAAGGAGGTCATTTGTGAATAGTCCTTGAAGAAACATTACAGTAATTTTGGTGGGAGACAATCTATTTTTTGTTATTTTTTGTTCCGGGTTTAGAGCTATGTGCACAGGAAAGGAGGGATAAAATTTTACTGGATTTGATTGGACATTTGCCATGTTATTATCTGCATCCCAAATAATATCAAATCAATTTGTGAATCCAATTGTTGTCAGCTTTGCTTATTATATGTTTCTGTAGGACGATATTACCGAATGCAAATTCGGGGGAAAGGATGGTTGTAAATTCTGAGACTACCATTTAGTCTGGGAAATGCTGTATGGGGAAATATGAAAATGGATGGTATCACAGAACTTGGAATCTTGCTGTGTTGTCTCTCAATAAGAAAGTTCAGGCACCGCGGCGTTAATGGGCGGAGTGTGGTGAGCAGGCCATGCCACAGCATGAGGGCTGAGTTCGAGCCTCCCTCGAGGCGTGGGTATGTTTAAATTCACTAGAATGGCTAAGTCAGCCTAATTCTTCAAACATTCATTTAAGAGAAGGGAAGGGAACGTCCGTGAGTGGAAGTTGAAGCTCTTATTGTTTTATTACTTAGCAACTCTTGCTTGGTACAAATGGAATGCATTAATCCCCTATTTATAGGCAATGCTAACTTACAATGGATGACTATGATTAGCTTTCTAGATTATTCTTACATCCAATGGTTAGGATTGAGCATCTAGACTCTTCTCCTAAAATATCTCTTTAGATATTTATATGGACTTTTCTAGAAGCTTTTACATACATGAGATATTTTATAAGGGTCCTTAGATATTTCCATGCGACCTTCCTAGAAACTTCTAGATACAAGATATTTATCATACCTTTATTATGTAAGAAAACTCTAGAAAAGCCTAGGAACTTCATGGACCCAACCATGAATGAGTGAGTCCAAATGCACCCAACTGAGTCAAAATGGGGTGGTTCGTGACACATGCCCCATTATCCATGTCTTACTTGGCTCTGGATGGGGTAGGGGGGCTCTAGCAGCCTGGGGTTTTCCTTAGCTAGCCTGGTCCTTGACCTTGGATCTTCATGCAGTGAGTGGAGTGTGCTAGCCAATGTTGTCTTCGTTAAAAATAAAAATAAAAGTTGTGTAAAAATTGGCTATTCAGTTTGTTCCACCATGATCAGTGATTCCTTTATGGTCCGTTTGGATAATAGAAGTATTGAAAGTAAGAAGTAGGTTATAAAAGTAATTTTCAAAACTATGAAGTAGGAAGTAGTGGAAAAAAAAATTTTGTTTGTTTCATATATTTTTAGAAGTAATGAAAGTAGAACTTCTTTATTTTTATTTACTTTTTTGTTTGAATAACATTTGGAAATATTACTAAGAAGTAATTTTATCAATGAAAAGTTGTTAGAATAACTAATAAAAGAAATATTAATAAAAAATATTTATCTCCTAATTAATATGCATTTCAACTACTTCTGAGTATTGATGATTGAAAAAATATTTTGGAAGTAAGGATGACACATAGACGTCACATAAGCGTTTAAGAAAGTATTGGAAGTAAGTTTGTCAGAGAACCAAACACATTTTTTTTACTTAGAAGTAGCAGAAGTAGTCTCTACTTCTTTTATTTTAGCTACTTTATAATTACTTCTGTGCAAACAAACAGGTCTTTAGCGGAAATATTAGCCTTACATCTTAGAGAATTGCCATGGTACACCTCTAATTTTTATATATGAATACTTTCCATCGTGGAGTCATCAATCCATTTTTCTCCATGAAGTTCATCGGGCGACAAATGCTCTAACACGACATACTCATTGTTAGAATAACATCGGTCAATATATTGATTGTCCCCTTCATCACGATATATCAAACACGTCATGCTATTAATTTGTAAGTCATCCTTTTCGTCATCATCCTCGGATTCGACACTTGCATTATCATCTTCTATCGTCACTCCTATGGAAGACATTATATCTTGATGAGGAACGGTATCATCGAAGATATTTGAAGTGCCTACAAGCGAAGGACCGCTTAAGTATTGTGACTGTGTCCATCCCATATCCTGTTGAGGAGACAAAAAGCCGACGGAGTCAACTTCAAGGTCCTCCAACATACAAGAGTATACTCCATCGTGAATCACCGATTACCCAAATTTCTGTTATGCTTTTCAATAAATAATTCCACCGCACACTTCTCGTCATACAATATTCCAGTAAGACCCATAGTGAGAATATGTAAAAATTTAGCAGAAAAAGATAAAATTTTTTAAAGATTTTATCGAAAATTTGTCGATGCCCTAAATTTGATATTCAACGTGTGAACTCTGACGGTGATGGCGGNGATGCGACTGCGGCGGCAACTACAGTATATGGATCTAGGGTTTGGTGATGAAAGAGCAGAGAGAGAGAGCGGATCGGGGAAACGTGAAAAGAGATCACGTTGAGCTTAAATAGGCCCTATCACAACTCCACGGGATTTCAAATCCCGTGAAGCTGCAATCCAACTTGCCAGAGAGCGTTGGCTCTCTGGAATTTGGATTGCAACTTCACAGGATTTGAAATCCCGTGAAGCTTGGGTCCCCACTAATCCAAAGGCTAGTGAGGGCTTAAACTTTACAGGATTTAAAATCCCGTGAAGTTTTTGATGTTTTTCACCATTTTCGATCCAGTTTCAGCTACCTGGGCTAAAACTTTACGGGATTTAAAATCCCGTGAAGTTTTTGATGTTTTTTCGCCATTTTAGACTCAGTTTTAGCCAGGGGGCTAAAATGGGGTCGAAAATGACAATTACTTTTGGGGTCGTTTTTTGAAAATAAGTTTCTAAACATGTCTATTTAAAAAAAAAATTCCAAAAGAAAAAGAAGATCTCCACTCCAGTGAGTACTAATTGTTTACATGTACGTTTGTACCTCAAAAACGCAATGTTATTAAGTATGACTGATATTTTTTTCAAATTAAATTCCAAACTTAAAGTCGAGATACAGTACGTTCAATAATTTCAGCAGTATTGATACATACCCAACAAGTTATTGTCGGCCGTTGCCACACCACAAACGTGCACTAATGGTAATAGAAAGAGCCACGACACTGAGAAACTGTTCATGGTACTGGTGTGAGCTTGAAGTCAAGCATCACGGCGTTACCGGAGGTTTACCTTTTCCTTAAGTGGGGATAATTAACTACAACTATTTGCTGGTTGAATTCGTAACATTTGTATGACCAGGATGTGCCCATTTTTGTGCTCAATTCAGCACAACAACTGTGGCCTTGTTTTCTGAAAAAAAGGGAGTAATGAAGTGTGAAATATCAAATAAGAATCAATAAGTTAAGAGGAAGAATTGTTTTAACTCCGCTAGAAAGACAGATTGTTAGGCATCTTTTTTTTTTTTTTCAAAAGGTACTGATGATTGCGGATGGACTCCCTACAGTCCTACTTATGTCCGGTAGACCCCTTGTGTGAATTTTTTTTAATTACACTTAAAAGATTTAAGGAAGAATTTTCAGAGTGCTTTATAGACCGCATTGTAGTTCTATTGGTGAGGATATATCTCCATTTGTTAATCTTTTTGGACTCTTAAAAGAGTCGAAAAGTTCGATGAGAGGTCTATCGGCACTTGGGTAAACACTACAGGGCCTATCCGCAACTGAGCGATAGTACACGGGGTCTATTTCCAATTATCCCTTTTCAAAATTTCATTATCATTGGACAGCAAGAGATTTATTGCACTTGGACATATTTACTCCTTTTGACATGTGTATGTATATTATATTAACTTCCATATCCAAATTGAGACCCACTCCTCGTCACAGTCATTAAGACCCCATAAAGGAATAGGAGAGGCTTTCATATTTTGTAGAGCGGAAGGACCACGTTAACAAACCGACAGCCAGCACAAAGATGTATGGGAATGCGCCCATCTCTCTCTTAGTCTGGACCACGACTATCTCCAACTATGGATCACTGCGTTACTCTCCCTTGTGGCTATAAGATATGGAACGTCGACATCCGCGACGTCACTTCCCCTTGTGTTTAGGCCGTTTGGTTTGGATTTCACTGGATTCCTCACACATACTGATCACCTTCTGCAGAAATCCTCTCATTTTTTTGGGGGGATTTCTGACAGGCTCTTCACTTCCAATCATCTCACGAGCGCACGTGACCGATATGGAGATCGATATAGACAAACCATGGTTTGTCGACAACCCGGGACATCGTTCTCGTTGTCTACCAATCTATATATCTCAGGCTGAAGCTTGCACAAGTGTCTGGTTAAAACATAGGACAAGTTCACATACGTGATATTTTGTTTGATTGGTTGTCAGTTCGGATGGGCATGAACATGTTACGTTTTGAAAGTCTTGTACTTAGTTTTCATAATGGAGAATATTTTTGGAGTGAGGAATCATTTTTCGTATCTTTATGTGGCCAGATCATATCCCGTGTCCCCTGTAATGATGAAACATATTGATTATACTACATTTATACTTCAAAAAACAGTTATATATGTGGATAACTTAGGCTCTGTTTGACAAAACTAGCTGAAAGCTGTGAGATTATAGCTGAAAGCTGTTAAGCTAGCTGAAAACTGTGAAATTGTAGCTGAAAGCTGTTAGCTGTGTAGCTAGCTAATTGACTAGAGCTGTTTGGCAAAAGTAGCTGTACAACTAGCTTAAATTTGTTAAATGACTATAAAGGACATGCAATATTATTGATATAAATTAGAATTATTAGGGGTAAAAACGGAAGAAAAAAATTGGCAGCTTCTTCCTAAAGACAAACGCTACTTGAGGTAGCTTTCCAAAAGCTACTTGCAAAAGACACAATCTCCTAAATAATCACCTCCTATTTTTGGTCACCAAACAGCTCTACTAGCTTATTGACCAAGTCAATAAGACACAAGCTCTTAGATAAGACACTTTTTTTGGTTGCCAAACAGTGCCTTAAAATCAAAACGAGGAAAACCTCGCCTAATGTTAACAAAGAACAGTCTGATAACAACTGCAACTTACTATCCATAAATGCAGTGAGTCAACAAGATAACTGTCAAAATTTCGAGTAATCTTTCACCGGTATGCAGTGCTTCGAAACTGTTTTATAGTGCGATCACCGAGAATCCTGAGCAGTACTTGGTTGCTTGTGCACCTTGGTGTTTTAAATTGGCTCATTGCTGCGCCATTGCCAATATAGTACTCAAGTATCTTTCGGAAAGTTCCAGTCTCCACAATTTTCAGTTCTAGAGGTCCTATCGAATTTGTCTTTCGTGACACAACATACCCATGATCGACAAATGCGAGGTCCATCTCTCTGCAACATTCATTGAGGACTTCATCTTCGACATTTCCCTTTATTTCCCAGTAAACAACATAGTGACCGGGGTTTTTAGATGTATCAGCATTGCTTGTGAAGTCGACTAGCTCGCTTTTTGTCTTTTGGCTGAGCAGATTTGACCCTTTCTCTACCACCATCTGCAGGTCTTTTTCGGTATTTTTGTCGATGTTTACAGTTAGAATTAGCTTCCTCCTGCAAATGAAATTTAGTTGAGGTGCTCCTTTGTAGAAGCCTGCTACTTCTACCACATCTCCCAGCCTGTATCGGTAGAGTCCTGAAATGGAGAATTATTTACTTTTATCGACTGCCGCCAAGTGGATTGAAAGCCTGAGTGACCAAAAACTGCACTGATACGCAATAAGAGTATAACGACCAATGTCTCATTTTATGAAGGCTAATTAGCACTTACGTATCTCATAGTTTTTTCCCTATTTCACAGTTATATAGCCTCGTTTTTTGCAGCACTTATATACCCTCAAGTTTTTAGAATTCGCACTTCAGTGCCTTATGATATGGAAACGTGAAAATACTTCCCCGAAAATTCCTACATGAACATTACATACTAATTTGAGAACTATTTAACCCTTAATATTCGTTAAATTTACTACATGTCCACCTTAATATTCACTTTTGCATAGGAAAAGGTATATTGAAGTGCAAAATTTTTAAAAATTTAGGTATATAAGGGCTGCCAAAACTGAGGGTATATAATTAATTACGAAATAGGGAAAACTATAAGATATTCAAATGATGCTTAGCCTTTTATGAAACTGGAATACTGAATATAAGTAGATGAATCCTATATGCATGACGCTAACATATCCATTCTTTGTCAGGAACGGAAAAGACGCGAATGATTTAACGTTGGACATGACCAGTTGTCTAGTGGCCAAAAGGGCAGATAGTCAAAGGGAGCAAACTTGCATCGAATCATCGGCAGAAGATAAAAAAAAAGTACTGTAAAGTACTGTAAAAAATAAAGAGTTAAAAGAGACTAGAGAAGGTTTTGTTTTCAAGTTTTACCCGTGAAAGTGGTGAGAACAACTTCATACTGCTCTCCTATCTTAACTTTAGACAGCGGCAAGGGCTCGCCTTCTTCATAGTCATCATTAGCCAATGAGTACTCGCTTCCTCGGTTGACTATTAGCGAGAGAGGAATGAACTCAAAGTAAGAAAATGTAGGAACCACTGTAAAATTTACCCTCTCTGGGGGATCCAATGGTCCCAAATTCACACCAATCCAGCTCTCAGTGGACCCATAATCTGCGCACACCAATGCTAGATCCCCAGCATAATGCCTTAGTTTTTTCAAGTAAGGCTGCATTGCTCCTGTCATTATGGAGTATACGTACTTTGCATTTGGCCAAAGTCTAGGAATCATACAATGCCAATTCGAACTGTTGAGCTCCTTGCATTTACTCTCTATTTCTAATGCGAGAGCTGGATCCGGAGCGATGTAATCCAGCACGGAGCTCCTCATATTCGTTATCGTGATTCTACTGCTCAGAGTCCCGTGTCTGATGTCTTCGCAGATCTCTTGCCATACATCTTCAAAAGCGGTGAAAGCCTGGACTAGGCTGTAGGCAAATGTTGAAGTGACGAACTCTACTTGGTCCGCGAAGAGCAGTCCTAATAAGAGGTGACAGTAAGTGGACTGCTTGTAGTCACCGGCTGAAATCACTTCATACGGACTACAAGTGAAGGATTTAGTTGTTTTCTGCTTCGTTTTGAATTCTTCGCTCGCGAAATAGTGGGTAGTCGCCGTGCCTGCTGTCAGGCCTCCTCTGGTTTTGAATTGTTTGCTGCTGTATACAAACTCTAAAATCCTGCCTCCAGCTCTTATTGGAAATACCCTGTAGGAGAAAAAGTTTCACGGATTGATATATCCAAAAGTATTTCAAGGGTGTATGAAACATTTAAAACGTATATTACCTTGATCTGTATGCAGCTGCTAATCTGAAGATTTGAAGAGTAGACTGAGAGCTGAAGCGAGTGAAGGGCACATATTTTTGCCTTCCATCAGTTGTCCCTGAACTGCAACAAATTAAACATACATATGCTTGTTCTCCACTTTGGAGTATGCACTACTGTTAGGAAAAAAATAAAATAAAATATGAAACTAATTGAACTATAGCTAGTGACCCCATTGAGAAGAGAACAAAATTGCTAGAGGGGAATAGCTTAGTTTAGAAAGATAAGTGTGCCCTTTTTTATTCAAAAAAGAAACATGCACCACGCTTGTTTTGTATGCAAGTAAAAATACCTGAGAGAGAGCATGGTGATGGGTTCTTGAGTCAGAAGTGCAGAATCATCACCATCTGCGATTCTCTGAATGTAAGGGTCGAGATCAGAATGCGACGAAAGAGGAACTAATGAAGTGTACAATGACTCCACAACCTCTGGTTCCAATTCTTCAATATTGAGCACTTCAGTCCCGAGCCGATTCCTGAGGTATTCTGTGTTGCAGTTGAGCTTGACGATGCGCTTGAGAATCTGGGTCTGGACCTGTGCAGCGTTGTCGGCGATATCTTCGAACCAACGCACAATGTCATAGTCTTCAAGATTGGTATCGGCGCCGCTTATCGCAGGTACAGTCATGGTTTGAAATGGCTCTACCTCTCCTCTCCTTTCGGTATGCAATGTAGAATGTTTGTTTGTTTGTTTGTTCGTTAAGGTTTTTGTAACAGAGCAATGATGGAATTTAGGCAGGTTGTTAGTAATGCTGAGTCTGAAGGCACTAGTTTCTTGTACTTATACACAATGCACAACGCAACCTAAGAAGCTCTTCAAAAAAATAAAAAATGAAAAACAATAAAATGAAATCTATAGTTTTATACTCACCACATCCACGCACACTGAAAAATATCTCACACTCTGAGGAGGGGTACAAGACAAGAGAAGCCATTTTTAGCTGTTGATGCCCTTTTCTTTCCTCATATTTAATGCGAGCGATATATGCTGAGGGACCAAAAAGGAATCTCTTTCTCTCTCTCTCTTATGTAATTAATACGGTAAATTTCTCTGAACCCCACGAAGCTTAATTTTCCCATTAAGCTCCCTGAACTTTAGTTGTCTCAAACAAGCCCCCACAAACTTTTAACTTTTTCCAACATACCCCCCAACATACAAATATATGAGGGTATTTTTCGTTACCAAGGCTTTTAATCAATTAAAGTCACGTGTGAACTGCGTGTTAATTTGAGGATTTGGTAGGAGACGTTTTGGGGCAGGGGTTGGCGTGGGCCAGGCCGGTTCATGCCCGTGACCCTTCCCGTCGGGTTCAAGCCAGAATGAGCCTGGCCTACTTTTCTAATTTCGGGTGTGGAATGGACCCAGCCAGGCCCACAACTTATTTAGGTGTGGACCGGGTCTGACCCGACCCATGGCCCGCGGGTCATGGACCGACCAATGGGTTTCTTGTCTAACTTTTTCCCTTTTTTTTTCCTTTTTAATTATATTAAAGTTATAATTACATTTATAAAGTTATTTCTAATTTATTTTTTTAATCTAAACTTATCTTAAATTATTTTTAAACTTGTATTAAACTTTTTAATCTTTCGAAGTAGACAGCAGCAAACTTAAAGATCATCGCTTTGTTTCTCAATGGGCTAAAAGAGAGCCAAAGACCTATGACCTTTTGGCTTTGTTAGCAGCTAGCTGTATAACCAAAGGGCTAAAAGAACAATTAGTCTAATCAAAAAATATAACATAGGCCGAGACGGGGCAGGGCGGGCATGGGCGGGGGCTAGACGTAGGGTCGGGCTACTTTTCGACCATCGGTCTGCGGACTAAGATCAAAGCCTAGCCCATGACCCGTATATCATGGGTCGGGTGGGCTGGCCCACTTCAGCCCGGCGTCGACGTGACCCACAACCCAATCCCTATTTGGGGTTTAATGGAATGACAAATTAATCGGGGTCTGCATGCAAATCACAAAAGGATTTTCCCTTGTGGGGTGGGGTGCGGTGCAGTGGGGATTTTTTGTTGTTGTTGTTTTTTGGGGTGGGCGTTGGGGGGGGGGTGGGGTGGGGGGGGGGCTTTGTGAAATTTAGCTTCATTAATAGAGAACTGGCATTATTTCACTATCTGAATCAGTACAACGTAATGAAGGCCACAAAAGCTGCAACTTCTTATCTTGTGCAATTTCAAATGCTGAGGTTTTATTATTGGGGAGAGAGGGAGAGAGGGAGAGAGAGAATGGGAAGGGGACCAAAATTAGAAACCAGCAGTAGGTGTTTTCCTCCTTTTTGACAGAGCCAGTGACAGCTGTTAGAGCTGAATGAGTCCTAATCAATCAATAATTAGTAAGGCAATAATACACCGGCTCGCTATAAATTAGCCTAATAACATGTCATATCAACAAAGCTGCTGGTTTCCCCTAATTTGGGGAAAATGTGTCAAGGTAAAAAAAAAGTGGTTGTGAACAGGTCCCTGTATTATTTTATATGTAAGAAAACACTTGATACATAAAATAATTATGTTTTAGACCCTATTTATCTTTTCAACTTAGCACAAAGAGAACTATTTATCAAAATTCAAAACTGTCCTTAACTCGTTCCCCCAAAACTTGTCTACTCTCTCTCTCTCTCTCTCATCGCGAGAACCCAAATTCAAAACCCTAAATTTTACTCAAACATCCATTAAATCTGTTAAAATTTTCTGAAATTTTTTAAGTTAAATGGCCGAGAACCGTAATGTAGAGATGGGTGAAGGAGACAACATCCAAATGGAAGTGGTTCGTCATCAGCATCGCTTGGCTCGGTTGACGAAGGACGATGTGCCAAAATCATCCGCCTCTGCCTCGGCCTTCGTATCCCCCGCTGGCGGTTCTTCTCTGATATCCTCTGAGGATGAGGAAAGTAACGAGGCGACGATAACCCTATTGAGCTTGAAAAGTGGACCGAAAGTTGGAGACCGCAAGAGGAGACGGTCGACGGAGGCTGTACCCGTCACTAAGAAGAAGTAAGTTCCCAATCAATTGAATGATTTTGAATTTAATTAATTTTTGTTATAAGTAATTTGTAAAATTATGGTGTTGGATGTTAGTTAAAAATATGAGAAGGAAAAAAGAAAGAAAGTTATCAGTTTATTTGTTTGAAATGCGATTGAGATTTATGGGTTCTGTTTATGAAAAAATGGTGGTGAGAAACTGGTTATTGTAGTGTAGAATCAGTTTCTTAATTTGGGAGTATGATCTCAACAATATCAAGTATAATCATTTTGAAGAAATGCATGCCAATGATTCTCATTTGTTATTAGCTATTAGCAATGCATATCAATAATTCTCATTTGTTGTTAACATTTAGCCTTAAGTGTCAATTATTAGCCATTCATGTTAATAAATCTTGACTTTTACTAAGTTAATGCCTTAACTGTTGACTATTTTTAATTCATGTTAATAGTAATGACGCAGACGTAGAAACGGGGAGGTCGATCGGATATCGTTTCGATACCGACGAGCCCTGACAAGTAGAAACGGGGAGACCGATTCGATATCGTTCCGATGCCGACGAGCCCTGACAACAACAGGTATTTCACGAGCTTGAATCCACAAGCTCTAAGTTTCTCAAAGTTGAGAATGTAAACAAGGAGAAAAATTCTCTTGATTGAATAATTGAAAAGTTGATTCACAATTTACAAAAGAAACTAATATTTATAGCCAACTAAATCTATCCTAACCCTAATAAAAAAGAAACTCTAAGTCTAAAAGGAAATAACCAAATCCAAAAAGGAAATAATAAAAAAGATGAACTCTTTCCTAATCTGAAGTCTGAGTCGACACGAGGCGTTCTGATTAGCACTACCTTTCGTGTCGTCTGGACCTGAGTCGACTAAGCATGTCGAGTCGTCCCGCCTTTCATGTCAACTGGCATGTGTCGATTCGTCCTGTCGCTTGTCGTTTCATCTTGTCGCTTCGAGTCGTCTGCTCGTCTCGGCTGGGTTATGTCGACTCGTCATGTCGTCATCTCGACTCGTCTGTACTGTTGTCGTCTCGTCTGGTTTAAGTCGAGTCTCGTCTCATCCATCTGTTCAGTCGACTCTGCTACTTTTCTTCTCGGTTCGTCCAATACTTGATCTCCTGCATCAGTCCCTCCTTCTTTGGAAGAACTTATCACGCCCCGCTTCCTAAATACCGGAGAATCGGAACGTGAACAAGCCCACGACGTATTAGATTAAGGAGAATAAATAAAAATAAACATTTCTCCTCAACCTAATACGCTAAGCGTCAATAAATAAACAATGCGAAGGCACATGTCTCCGATCACAGTTAGTAAGAATATAATGAACAACACAGAATAAAATAATACATATCACAAATGAATATCATCCAAGATATAATATTCGGGTCAACATGCCCTTATACATATCTGAACAAATGAATGCTGAAGAAATATGAAATACATTGTTCAACAGAAATAGAAGGGAAAAGACTACAAAAACAACTAGGATCATCAAATAAGACGAGATACAGAACTTCAGACTATTCTTCAACTCTATCTGCAAGGCACTCCTGCTGAGAATTTCCTGGCTCCTGGCACATCTTCAATCTGAACATGTTCTTCCTCTAAGTCTGACGTACACTAGAGAAAACAGGTGTACGTCAGCGTGCATAACACACAGCAAGACCCCACAAAAAGAAAAGAACGAATGAAAACCCAATGCGAAAAACGATACAACAACAGAAATGATAAAGAAACATGCAACTGGAAATCCAACAAAACCAGCATGCAAATTCACTACTAAAACATGATAATCATAAGAAATCCATAAATCAATCGAGTAATGAAGTCATGCAGCTAGCGATCAGAATAATCATCCAAGTAACAGGATCATACAACTAGATAGAATTAATACTTAAAAATCTACAACAAGAGACGTAGTATGTCGAGCGAAATAATCCAAACAAGGAAACCCTTATGTATATACCATATGTCTCAAATTATAGATAATTAAATATTAATTCCAATCTATGTATGAAAAGAAAACTCAACTGGCCTACATCTCATAAAAATTCATACTTAGCCAATAAACGAGGTCATATAACTAGCCATCCTAAAACTTATTGGTCCACATCTCTACAAAACTAACAAAGTCTTCCAGAAAACACACAAGCATATTATACATATTTTACATGTTATTTGAATTGGGGAAGAATATCTTCATGTATATAATCGGGTCCCCGTAAACCTGTCTGGGTGCCGCTTTCAAGTCAAGTATTGACCATCTGGCCAATGTATATAAAACTCACGATATCACAATAACAGGAAAGCGATGTGCCCGTTTATATACATGCTATATTCTCCATCTAATTCCCCTTTATAACCACATGTTGTCAAATTAATTTAAATGACCGTACATAAAATATTATGCACTAGCCACGGAGTTACCGTGGAACGACTTCTGTAAAACTATAGAAATAACCGTGACCCATGACACGTTCGATCAAGAGTGCATCGTCTAGTCAATGTTATAATAGTAATAGTCAAGGAAACCTCATACTAGGATATCGATATCAAGGGAACTTAGGATTCCTCACATCGGGATATCGATGTCGAGTGAGTATAGCCATGCTTTGAAGCACGCTTATAAATCATATTTTTAACAGAAGTCGTCTTTATGTACAGTCTCTCTTATTGGATAACAACTAGGTGATAAAACAATAAGCTTCCACACAGCTATTCATGTCAAGCAATCCCACGTAGGTAATAATATATCACAGACTAATCTAATTAATTAACTCATAACATATTTAGAAATTGAATTGTGAGTAAATAAGTAATGGGATCTTACCTCGGGTACGTCGAACGATTCGACGTTGACGGTGCAGCGCGTCGGTGCTGAAGGCGGCAGATCTAAACAGCGACGTCGGCGGGAGTCTCGGCGATATAGCA